TCAAGCAGGGTCTGGAAAAGAAGGAGGGTCTCTTCCGAAAGAACATGATGGGCAAGCGTGTCAACTTCGCCGCGCGCAGTGTTATTTCGCCTGACCCGAACATCGAGACCAACGAGATCGGTGTCCCTCCAGTGTTCGCCATGAAACTTACATACCCAGAGCCTGTCACGAACCACAACTTTTACGATCTTAAGGAAGCTGTCCTGAACGGTCCCGACAAGTGGCCAGGAGCGCATGCCATCGAGAACGAGTTTGGACAAGTTGTGTCACTCAAGAAGAAGAACTACGAAGAGCGACTAGCTTTGGCCAACCAACTGCTTGCACCCACAAATTCATACTCCAATGGAGCTCGGAATAAGAAGGTGCATCGTCATCTGAACAACGGCGATGTTGTTATCATGAACCGACAGCCGACACTGCACAAGCCGTCAATGATGGCACATCGCGCCCGTGTATTACCGGGAGAAAAGACCATTCGCATGCACTACGCCAACTGTAACACATACAATGCCGATTTCGACGGTGACGAGATGAACATGCATTTCCCCCAGAACGAGCTTGCCCGCGCGGAGGCTATGACGGTAGCGGATACCGATCATCAATACCTATCTGCGACTGCTGGAAAGCCTCTGCGTGGTTTGATTCAAGATCATATCTCCATGGGAGTCTGGCTTTCGAACAAGGACACATTCTTCACAAGAGAAGAGTACCATCAATTACTCTACTCTTGCCTGCGACCGGAAGACGGCCATACCACCTCAGGTAGACTTGAAACAGTTAACCCTGCTATCATGAAGCCTAGGCCGATGTGGACGGGAAAGCAAATCATCACCACTGTTTTGAAGAACATCAAGCCCGCAGAATACCAGGAACTGACGCTCACATCCAAATCGTCAACGAATGGCAAACTCTGGGGTGTTCACGTCGAGGAGCAGTTCGTCATTGTCAAAGATGGCCAACTGCTTTCTGGTATCATGGACAAGGGTCAAATCGGGCCTGCCGCGGGTGGTCTTATCAATGGCATATACGAGGCTTATGGAGAGACAATTGCTGGTCGAGCCCTCAGTATCATCGGACGGCTGCTTACCAAGATGCTTCACATGCGCGCCTTCTCTTGCGGTGTCCAGGATCTGATTCTCACAGAGGAAGGAGATCGTGCCAGGCTGGAAGAGCTCCGTAAAGCGGAGAAGGTTGGATTCGAGGTCGCCTCCAAGTACGTCACTATGGACGCGGAGAAGATCGACCCCATGAACCCGGAATTACGGCGACGACTTGAATCCGTGCTACGAGACGACACCAAGCAGCACGGTCTGGATCTGCTCACCAACACTGCCAACGGCAAGATTTCCTCTGCGGTTACCTCAGCCTGCTTACCCGATAAGCTCATTAAGCCATTCCCCAAGAACCAAATGCAAGCCATGACAGGTTCTGGAGCTAAGGGTAGTATGGTCAACGCTAACCAGATTTCATGTAACCTTGGTCAACAAGTTCTGGAAGGCCGAAGAGTTCCAGTCATGATTTCTGGTAAGACACTGCCGTGCTTCAAGCCCTTCGAGACGAGCGTACGCGCTGGTGGTTACATCGTCAACCGTTTCTTGACTGGTATCCGACCGCAAGAGTACTACTTCCATATGATGGCTGGTAGAGAAGGTCTCATCGATACTGCTGTCAAGACTTCGCGCTCCGGTTATCTGCAAAGATGTATCATCAAGGGTATGGAAGGTCTCAAGGTCGAATACGACACCTCTGTCCGCGACTCCGACGGTACTATGGTCCAGTTCCTGTACGGTGAAGACGGTCTGGACACAACCAAGCAGAAGTATCTCAATGACTTCAAGTTCCAGGCGGAGAACTTCTACTCGCTAGCGCAATCCCTCCACACTGCTGAAGCCTACCCGAAGGTTTCTAGTGCTGAAGCAGTTGAGCACAACAAGAAGGCGGCGAAGAAGGCTAGGAAGGGTGATGTGGCTGCAATGGACCCTGTTACTGCAGTTTACACGCCATCGAGACACAGTGGTAGTACTTCAGAACTGTTCTTGCAGGCTAAGCGCGACGTAAGTTACTTCGTTTTAATTGACTGTTATATGCTAACAATCATAGTACTGTGATCAAAACCCCGACAAGCTGCTCAAGAACAAGAAGAAAGACGAGGAGGGCGAGATTCTCAAGCGTACCTTTGAGCAAATGCTTGACCTCAAGTACCTGCGGTCCCTGGTCGAGCCTGGCGAGGCTGTAGGTGTCGTTGCTGGCCAATCTATCGGTGAACCCTCAACACAGATGACGCTGAACACCTTCCATTTGGCTGGTCACTCTGCGAAGAACGTCACACTCGGTATTCCCCGTCTACGAGAAATCGTCATGACTGCTAGTGCGAACATCTCTACCCCGTCGATGCAACTATATCCCCATCCCGAGCTTTCCAAATCAGACAACGACAAATTCGCTAAGAGTATCAGTCGTCTGCCACTCTCGGCTGTGCTCGACAAGGTCACTGTGACTGAGACCACTGGTCCCGGTCGCGAACATAGTCAGGCCAGGAGCTACAAGATCCGCCTGGACTTCTACCCGGCAAAGGAGTACACCAAGGAGTACGCTATTAAGGTTCGCGACGTTGCCGAGTCTATCGAGCAGAAGTTCTGCCCGCGTCTCCAGAAGATCATCAAGGCCGACCTCAAGAAGAAGGCTGCGAACAAATCCTTGTCAACGGCGAAGTCGGCTGCCATCCCAACTATCGGCGAGAAGACTGGTAGAAGCGAAGAGCAAACAGTTGACGAGTCAGAGGAGACCTTCCGCGCGGGACGGGAAGGCGGTGCAGAGGACGATGACAGTGACGACGGCGAGGGTGACAACGACACTACTCACGCCAAGGACCGAGGCCGACGTGAAGACAGCGTGGCTTACGAAGAGCCAGAAGAGGAGGAACAGGCAGTCAACGACAACCTTGATCGAGAAGACGAGATCAACGACGAGGACGAGACCTACGGTGGCAGCCCCAAGCCCTCGCGCGCAGCTACCCCGGAACTCAATTCTGACGATGAAGACGAGGGTACACTCGTACCCACTGACGAATCCTCGGACATCCGCCACGACCGCATCTGCCACGACAACGAACACATCCACGACTTCACCTTTGACGACCGCAAGGGAGCTTTCTGCGAGATCACGTTTGAGTACGAGACATCGACTCCCAAGCTGCTCATGCTGCACCACGTAGAAGATGCTGCCAACTTCGCCACCATCCACGTCATCCCCGGTATCACCGCCGCTCAATACTCAGATGCAGATGGTGTCATCAACACCGAAGGTTCCAACCTGATCGCCATGCGCGAGTACGCCCACATCATCGACGTGAACCGCACCATGACCAACGACATCGTAGCCATGCTGCACCTCTACGGTGTGGAAGCCGCCCGCGCAACCATCGTCAAAGAAATGCACGGCGTCTTCTCCGGTCACGGTATCTCCGTCGACCAACGCCATCTCAACCTCATCGCCGACACCATGACCAAGGGCGGTGGCTTCACACCTTTCAACCGTATCGGCATGAAGGGTAACGTCAGCCCCTTCATGAAGATGAGTTTCGAAACCACCGTCGGTTTCCTCAAGGACGCCGTCATGGAGCGCGACTGGGACGAGCTCAAGAACCCCAGCGCACGCATTGTCGTCGGTAGACTGGGTGGTATCGGTACGGGTGCGTTCGACGTGCTTGCACCGGTCAAGATCAGGGATCCGCTCAAGAATGTCGCGGAGGAAGTCAACGAGGCCATCTCGAACGGCATCCGCGAGAAGCGCGATTCAGACTCTGAGTCCGAGGACGAGGAAGAAGAAGAGGAAGATGAGGACGTCGATGGCGATGTTCAGATGGATGACGTGGAGATGCAGGATGTGGATGCTGTTGAGGAGGAGGAAGAGGTCGTTCAAGAGTCGCCGAAGAAGAAGGAGAAGAAGAGTAAGAAGCATAGGCGGAGTAGCGATTAGGCGCTGCGGATCTCTTTTGCTTGTACGTTACTATGAGTGCATGTGTTTCTTGAGCATGGTATGGGCGTTTGGGGAAAAGGCGGGGTAATATCGATGTAGTTTAGTATGTTTGCATTGTGAAATGGCAAAAGTGTTCATATTCAGGCTAGTCTGCCTTTGATGAATGACTTTTGTTGTGATATCTACTAGTAATGCAACACATGTTGGAATGAGTAGTTCCAACTAGGCTGCCATGGTGGAGTTGTGATGGATAGATGACGAAGGAACGAGCGCTCAATGCGACGTTTTGTTCTTCCGCTAGGCACTAATAGTAGCGCATTTTTGTAGTGTGTAATTGACTTGAGATACCAAGAGCCATAGCTGCAATATGATAAAGCTGAGCCCTACCATCGATACGGGATATGTCGATATCTGGACTTATAAAAGCAAGACGTCTAGACGATCGTAATTGTCTGTCTTTCATAGTTTCCTGGGTCCCAGTCGTGGAATTCGGGATAGCCTGGACTGCAGTCCTGTCCCGGCCACCTGTCGCCACGAGGATGATCGAACATACCGATCCTACGCCACGTTGTCCTGTCATCGTCAACGGGTTCAACAATGATGCCTGCAAGCTTTGGAATCCGAACATAGCCGTTATGGCTGCTTCTGCTTCGCACTAAAACTCCTTTTCGGTGCGCAAGCAGAAGGAAGTAGGCATTGCTCATGCCTCGGATGTCAAACTTCTCCCCTTCATATCCGGTGTCAAACCACTCGTACTGTACACCTTGATCGTCGCATGTCCCGGAAGCCATGCGTCTGATGTTGCGTTCTGATGCCTGTCGAGTCGCTTTGCGGAGATGTCCGGAGATCTGGAGACGAGCGGATAAGATGCAGCCAAAAGGGTCAGGGCCCGATGGTGTGACGTCAATTTCTTCAAGCCGCCCAATAGAGGTATAATTGGCGGTTGCATTGCCTATAAGCTCGTGGTTATCGATGAAACCAATGGAAAATTTTACGGAGGCCCAGGACCACGATGGTGCTGATTACATTAGAGGTGGCGCAAAAGCTGGATTGTGGACAGAAAACTTACCTCGATAGTCGCTGGGGAACGGAGGATATCGCGATTGACCAAACTTTTGGTCGTCACGGAACCAGCATAAGCCTGGGATAAAGTCGCCCTTCCATAGTCCAGCGTAGTACTCGTCCTGAAGGGAAGCCTGGAAATTGCGTGCAAGACCTGATAAGGCAGGGAAACAATCCAAATCGTACGTGAGCTGGCACTTGGTAAACGATTTGACAATATCTCGCCAAGCTTTGTATTGTGCAAATTGCTTGCACTCGACAATGGTATTTCCTAAGCGAACATTTGGTTCCTCAAGACCCAGTGGAAACCCAAATGGAAAGGATTCGCATGCGACTAGCTCAGAACATTCCCAGACCATCTGTTGGCCGAAGAAAAGCGATCGAGTACTAAGGAGTCGCTCCTGTAACACCCATCCACGCTTGAAGAGAGCACTGTTCTCGAAGTCATCCGCGTGACACTCATCATAGACAATGTAGTCGTACTTTCTGCCTCTTCGCTTGATTGTCACACACAATGGTGTATAAAGCAGGGGGTCTCGGTCTACGAATAAACCGGGGCTCAATGCTTGTGGTTGTTTCTGTTCAGTAGCGAAGCCCGGTGAGTCAAGACCTTGGCTTGTAGGCGAGTCTTGTAGAGTAAACCAGTCATATCTCTCTGCACTATTCCTGTCCCTATCTCTTGAACGCCAAGTGCTTGTAAAATCGGTGCTATAAGCGATATTGCTGTCTTCGAGTGTCTCACTTCCGCCCTTGCCCTTCATCACACTGTCAGACGCCAAGCCGCTGTCTGCTGGTGACCTTACAGCATCGGCGGCTCCAGTAGCGCCAACGTTGAGGAAGGCATTCTGGTAGATGTGATTCATCTTGGAGACTTCGGATGCCTTGTCAGCCTCATCATCTTGTATGATGCACAGAGCATCAATCCAGACATATGGTAGTTGTAACGCCCTAGCCAAATCGAAGGCGTCCTGGAATAGCTGTGGTAGCTCGGATACGTTTACACCCCGCTCCAACTTCTTGGCATTACATCGCAGCAGCTTTGGCATTGGGTCCCGCCACCTGTGACTAACTGTCATGTACAAAGGGGCTTTTGAAATGCACCTGTGTGCCGTAGCTACGGTCTTCACTTTTAGCGAACTAGCCGCAAGCAACCGTGACGGTATCGTTTCTACTGTCTGGATATTGGAAAGCTGATTGCAGCGTTTGTGGTTTTTCGAACACTCTTTGAACCATGCAGAAGCCTGGTTCATGCATCGTTGATCGCTGGTGCTACTGGGTAGAATAGGCAAAGCAAGTTGGGCAGGAGAGAAATTACTTTGACCAAGTCCCGAACTTGTTCGTTGATGAGTTTGGGCCGGGCTGCTGAGGCAATTTGTCGGTCGAAGCGCCAGTTTGTAGATCTCTGGCGATGATAAGTTCTCTCCGCTCTCTTTCAGGACAATGCTCAAAGGTTGGTATTGCCCCCAATTGATGGATAATTCCCAACATGAGTCTCTGTCGCCATGTCTCTGATGCAGACGCAACGCGAATGCTTTGCATAAAAGGCAGCCGCGTTCTGCCGACAGCATGATAGTACTGCCCTTGCGCGTGACTCGACATACATCAGTCTTAGCCTTATCCGGCTGCATAAGAATCTCCTGGCAACCAGCGCAGATACATTGGTCATTCGTCGGCGGAGATGACGAAGAATGCAGTACGGATTCCATGTTGATTGTTCTACACAAAAGTAGTTAGCTTTAAAGAAGCTGCGGACTACCAGACTGTGAGATGAAGACAAATAGACCACAGCATCTGGCATTGACGTTCGATAAAGAACAGACACTGTCACATTAGTAGGCGCTAGTGGATCAAAAACAGGAGATATGTTTGCGCCTACCTGCATGTGTGTAGCGCGTGTTGCAAATGGAGCGAATTGATATCTAGCCAAGGCGTATCAGTGCCAAAAGGATGCGACTCTACGAGACCAGCGATCGTTGCGGGCGTAGTGATCACCAGGCGCGTATCTTAGTATACGATGCGATGGCGACTGGAACAGCACTCACTACACGCGGTCGCTGACAAGAAAGACAAGATCGCGATTGTCGCGAAGTCGAGTCAGTGAAGTGTGTGATATAGCCAAGTGAATTAAATAATCTGATGTTCCTAGTTCTGTCTGTCAGTAACTAACTTAGGCGTGTTGTTTCTTACATGAAGGAAGAGACTGTGTCTAACAGCGGTTGCCTGCGTAGCCTACCCCGCACCACGAGGTTGGGATTAGGCAGCCGTCCTGTGACAGCCGTGTCGTCATTCCTGCCCGTATCACCAATACGACTGAGCTGATGCGCGCAATATACAACAGTGGCTCCAAGACCAATTAGCATACACTCATAGAACGCGACATGACTGAGTCTGCAAGATAGTGGTGTACTACTCGTTCCCGTAAGATCTTGGAACTACCACTAGTAGAGACACATGGAAAAATTAATGTCAAGCAGTACCATACGATACTGGATGCGCAATCAGATCAGATCACCAGACATGTTGATATGGAAGGCTGGAGACGAATCGCCATTGAGCCACGATGGTGATGAGCCGATGTTTATCTCCGTCGGTAAGTCCGCATTGAGGTGGCAGCCTGGGACTTGCCAATCAAGGCATCTCACTCTTCTCTTATCTGTATATATCGTTTCTAGCTAGTGTAGGATTTCGCTTATGCGATAGCGCGCAGCAGCTGCGGCGTTGCTTTACCATTGTCTCTAATCAGTTTAACGCGTTAATCTACGCGCTGTTTTGATCTACAGAATATCGCGTGCGATCTCTCATTGTCATCTTTGCATGGTCATTGCAAAGTACGTGAAATTCATCATGAATTGCTCTCTCGTCTCTGACAATAGCTTCGGCCCTCAGTATTGCGACGACTTCGACTTCACACTAGTCTTCGAACAAAGTCTTTTTCAGATTGCGCCATGTGCCTTATTACTCCTCGCTCTCCCAATCCGAGCTTTCCAATTGCGACGACAAGAAGCGAAGTGCGAGAGATCGTGGACGCGCCTTGGCAAGCAAGCCATCATATTGTTCTTGGCTCTGAGCCAATGCGCTTTACTAATATCCTGGGTGCTTGCAAAGAAAACTAGTCAAACCGCTGTGGCAGCGGCAAGCTTGTCGTTCCTCGCTTGCTTGGGCCTGCTTTGGCTGTCTTCCGTTGAGCACACGCGCTCAGCGAGGCCCAGCGACATCATCAGCGTCTTCATTCTCGTCTCTATAGTACTAGATGTGGCACAGGCTCGTACCTTATGGCTGCGTCATCGCTCAGACACCGCCGTCGCGGCCACTTTTACTGCTTGCCTAGCCATCAAGATTGTCATGCTCTTTTTCGAAGCACGATCCAAGAGACCATGGCTGCTTCCACCATATCAAGCCTACGCGCCGGAGGCACTCGCAAATATCTTCGATCGAACTGTACTGTGGTGGCTTGGCCCGCTCTTTCTCCTCGGTTATCGAAAGAACATCAAGTTTGAGGACTTGTACGATATCGATGAAAGTCTGCGGTCTGAATCAGTGGAAGAGCGATTCATGAAGTATTGGTCACGCTTCCGTAAGCCAGGCTGCCACATCCTTTAGGCCTGCTTCTGACGAGATTAATAGGTCAATACAACATCCAAAGGCGCCCTCTCTTGCAAGCAATGGTCTTGACAACCAAGTGGAGTCTGCTGGCGACTATATTGCCACGTCTCTGCCTCAGCGCTGTGAAACTCACCCAGCCTCTTCTGATTGACAGAATAACGAAATGGCTCGGAGATGACTCGCGAGATCATGATACCGGAAAAGGCTTGATTGCCGCGACATTGCTAATCTACCTGGTCATGGCCCTCTTGACTGTGACGTACAGAAGGCAGGGCGACCGATTTCTCACTACGCTGCGCGGGGTTTTCATTTCCGCATTGCATTCGCAGAGCTTGGCCCTTTCCAACACCCAGCTCTCAGATGGAAACATGCTCACGCTAGTAAGCACTGACGTGTTGCGCATCGGCATGAGCTTGCAGCGAGTCGGAGAGATGTTTGCTGCTCCGTTCGAGATCGTGGGTGTCGCAGTATTGCTAGCTCGTCAAAGTGGTGTTTCTTGCATTGCTCCAATCGCAGTGGGCGTCGCAGTGCCCATCATCAGTGCCCTCAATAGTAAGCGAGGTCTGCCGATCCAGAGGATCTGGCTCGATGCCATTCAACGACGTGTTGCATACACAACTGCTGTACTCGGTTGCTCCAAAGGCTTCAAGATGCTGGGGTTGACCGAGTTCCTGTCTCAACGGATTCAAGCACTGAGAGTCAAGGAGCTTGCTGACTATGCCGGGTACCGGAAGTTCGTCGCGGTCAGGGAAACACTCGCTTCAGTACCCAATGCCTTGGTGCCAACTCTTACCCTAATGATGTTTACTTTGAATAACGGCGGCGACAAGCTGACTCCAAGTGTGGCGTTCAGTACTTTGTCGTTGGTCTCGCTTCTGTCTGCGCCGATACAAGAGGTAGTCTGGGCCATCATCGACCTCCAACTAGCTTACACGAGCCTTTTGCGCATTCAATCCTTCCTGCTTAGCGACAATGGCAACAACACTAAGCTTGCGTCAGATCTGAACAGTACTTCCCCGTCCGTTGAGATGACGGCGAGGGTTCCAAAGGGTATCAGTCTGATCGATGCGACAATGTACGCTGGTGACAATCATCAGCGCCCTATCCTTCAGGATATCTCACTGGATTTACAGAAAGAATCTTTCACCCTCGTACTTGGACCAGTCGGAAGTGGAAAGTCGACTTTGCTTCGTGCTGTCGTCGGCGACACGAAGCTGGATGGTGGCAGACGTACCGCCTCGAGGGGCTTCCACTCATTCGCATTCTGCTCTCAAGAACCCTGGCTGCCCAATGACTCGATCCGGAACATCATCATTGGAGAGTCCGACTATGACCCGATTTGGTACAGCACCATTGTGAGCGCATGTGCATTATCGATCGACATTGGGCGATTTCCGGTCGGAGAGCAGACAGTGGTGGGTAATAAAGGCATGTCACTGAGTGGCGGGCAGAAGCAACGTCTTGCCCTCGCAAGAGCGCTCTATTCGCGAATCCCCGTCTTGGTACTAGACGACATCTTCAGTGGGCTAGACATCAGCTCCCTCAAACACATTGCTGGATCTGTCTTCGGCTCCTCCGGTATAGCCAAGCGGCATGGTCTTACAGTCCTCATGACTACTCATACCGCCACGTATTTTGTCCAGCAGGCCAGTCGGATAGTCGTCTTGGGAAGTGACGGTAGAATCGCTGAGCAAGGGTCGTTCGAGAAGCTGGTAAGCAATCCGAACAGTTTCCTCCACACCATCGAGCTTCGGGAAGAGAACGCAGCCAATACGTGCGAAGAGCCAAACGATGCTGTTCAAATTCCGACGAATCCGGTCGGCGAGTCAGACGATGCTCTAGAGTCTCCCTCTGCACGCCGGACTGGAGAGTTCTCGACCTATGCATACTGGTTCAGATCATTTGGATTGACATTAACTCTTCTGTTCATGGCCACGACTTTATTGGCGGGGTTTTTCTGGAAGTTTATGGAGATCTGGGTTCGGTGGTGGTCTGATGCAGAAGCATCGCGACACTCTCTGGGATATTGGATCGGCTGGCATATTGCGTTCGCGCTGCTCGCATTGTTGTTCGATTTTGCCAAATTCTGGACCATCCTCGTCTGGGCTGTACCTCATTCATCAGCGAACCTCCATCAACGAATCTTGAACAGCGTAATGAACGCTCCATACTGGTTCTTCTTCAAGACGAATTTAGGGTCGATCGTGAACCGCTTCTCTAATGACATGACGTTGATCGAGAGCGCTGCTGCCGGTCCCATCTTGCAAGCTTCGGAGAGCCTTACGATGGTCTTGGGCAGCGCGGCATTGATACTGGCCGGATCGAGCTACGCCAGTGCCACTCTGCCGTTCCTGCTTTTGGCGGTCTATCTCTTACAGCGATTTTACCTTCGCACGTCGCGCCAGCTCCGTCACATGGACCTCGAGACACAGGCGCCTTTGGT